CACACCGCCGACCAAGTACTTATATGTCCATCACAATTTTGTCAATTCAACTTTTTACAACTAATTGCCATCACTCATCATATGCAATATGCACACATGAATTTCTTAAACAACATTACCAAATAACCATATAAATCCGAAATGCAGCAATGACCACCAATCTTCATAGCACACTTTCACCTCATTGAAGTTCAAGCTGCTCCTTTGGGATATTTTTGTGCTTCAATGTGAAGCAGATTGTTAGATTTCATTAGTGGTTTCATTATGTGGCTTTTTAAAAAGAAAAACAAAATGATTTTGATTTCTTCCACAGTTCAAAATTCCCATAAGAGACATTTTTTTGGAAATCATATGGTCCCAGGATGTTTTGAGTAACCAAACATTCTTTACTAGATGAAACGTCTCATTGCAATTGTAATAAATAAGCATCTACATCCTTAAATATATTACCAGTGTGTCCTAGAACCAAAGTAAAATGGTTTTCTTGTTCCCACAATCCACTTAAATGTTGTTTTAAAATCTATTTCCATCATTTATAGTTCCGGTTTTGGGTGATATCTCTGACCACTACCTGCTTGAAGCCAGTTTAAATCAACTATTACATACTCTTCAAATTTGTTTTTGAGTAGTGATTTTACTGGTGCCAACAAATGTACACAACCGCCAAATGAGATCTCCTATCCTCACCAAAGAGTCCACAAATACACTTGTACTTCTCTTCTTCCAAAAGGTTAAAGCTACATTCAACCTCAAATTCTTGCTGAACAAAACTTGTACCATTGTTTCATAGTCCTGAGAAAGCTCACAAAAAAAAGCCACTATATCTTGGTGATTGGCCTTCTTCTGTCTGTGAAGAACCAGAATCATTAGAGTTGATCACATACGTTCAACTATCATGGCGTAATTTTTCAGGCACAAGCCATTTCATTTTCTTTATTAGCTCTGACACAGCCCCCACTTCTAAGGGACTGTTTCTTTCTGTAACAAGGGTTTGGAAAAGGATAACTTTCTTTCTGCAATAAATTACCTTATGTAGTTTATCTGGGCTCTTCACAGCTTGTCCAACTATTCAATTTATTTAAACAGTAAACTGCTTTGGAAATTTCTAAACCGCCTTCATGTTCTCATTAATGAAAGTAGGATTCCTTTTTCTAGGAATATCAAGGGAATGATTCTCAATATTATTACAAAAGTTCCGTTTTTTAACATTGTGGGTTTCAGACACCATGCTGGTGCCTCGTGGAACCATGGCACTGCAGCCCAAACCTGGCACTTGAGAAACCACCGCATCCATCTAGAGTGCTCCTCGGCTCCCTGCCAGCCCCACTCACAGTCATTTAAAAACAGCTGTGCACAAGAGGCACGCCAAGAAACCCATCAAACCTATTAAAATGTTTTCTAAATCCATGTGAGATATACTCAAGATAGTATGTTGGCTCTTGTGGACTTGTTTTAATTTTCTTGTTTCAATCTGAGCCAGCATATGAGTAGCTAAAGGTCTGTTCCACAGTTAGCCCTTGGCCTTGTTCTGATTGGTGATATTGATCTTCTCCATATTCTCTTTCACATGTAGTTAACTTGATCCCTGGGTATTCCATTGAGCAAGGTCCACATTCAGAATCACAATTTATGTTGTTGAAAAAAGGTATGTGCAATGAAGAAGTCATTGGTCTTGCAAAATTCTATCATGTTATCTCCAGCATTATTTCTATCACCAAGGCCACATTTCCAACTTCTGATCTTTCCTCTTTGTTTCCAACTTTTGTAATCTAATCACCAGTAATTATTAATGCTTCTTGATCTTATGTTTGATCAGTTTCAGACTGAAGAAGTTGGTATAATTCTTCAATTTATCCATCAATGGCTTTAGGGTTGGTATGTAAGTTTGAGTAATAATCATATTAATTGGTCTTCCTTGTTGTTGTTGTTGTTGTTAGGTGCCATTGAATTGGTACCAACTCATAGCGACCATATGAACAACAGAATGAAACACTGTCCGGTCCTGGGCCAAGCTCACAATTGTTGCCACACTCGATCCCATTGGTGCTGCAATTTTGCCAATCCATTTCTCTGGGGGTCTTCCTCTTTTGCTCTGACCCTCCACCTTACCAAACATGATATCCTCCTCCAGCAACTGGCCCCTCCTGACAATATGTCTGAAGTAT